CCTGCCGAGGAGACAGCCACGCTGCAGACCGGCTTCCAGCGACGGTATGGCGGCATCACAGGTACGGGTGCTGGGGCAGAGATCTGAGCTCCGGGTCAAAGTCCCATATCTCACGCCCTGTATGGAATGGCATGAGCAGCCTGCCTGCCTCTGAAGACTGGCGGTCCCCCAGGGAGCTAATCTTCCTCCTTTCCTCTCCTGCAGACCCAGGCACAGTACACAGAGCCCCATCACACTTCTCTCGCCTCCCTCTGGGAGGCTGGGCTGAGGACGGGCAGTCAGCGAGACACCCAGAGCCCGTGCCAGAGGAGAGCTCAGAGGATGAGCTTCCACCGCAGATCCACAAGGTAGGTGTGAAGGCTGTGGCCGAGAGGGGAAACCTGTACTTAGGACGGCCCAAACAGGTGCCACATCCCCTCTGTGTCTTGCAGGTATAACCTTGTAGGCTGGGGATCTCGTGGGGGTCGCAGACTGGGAGCCACCTGGGCAGCAGGATGTGGCGTCAGCCTGATTCTTCTCCCGTCCTGAGCGGACAGGATGGTCCCAGGCTCCATTTTGTTGCCGTCAATTGCCGAAGAGACAAAACTGCCAGTGCGGCAGCTTTGCGGTGGCGCCTTGTGTCCAGCCGTGTGTCAAGTCAATGCCACTCTGACTCTTGTGGGGTGAAAGCGTGTGTGAGTACATACATGTGTCTGTGTTCACATCTGTGTCGTCCGTGTCGGAGGATCGCTGCAGAGCCTGCGAAAGCTGACGTGACAGGACTGACAGTGGGGAGCTGTGGACTGGCTTAGAGGTGGCAGCAGCAGCAGCTCGAAGGGATGGGAGATGGTGCCGGCTCCAGATGTCTGCCCGGAGCTGGGACCTGCCTCCGAAATGAAGGCAGGAGCTGTTGAGGGAGCGTCTAGCTCAGCCTCTAGCACAACACTCGCCCTGCCTGCAGCCCTGGGGAGGTGCCCAGGACCACGTTCACCCTCCTGCAGAGGACCAGTGTTGTGCCCTTCAGCCTGGAGGAGGACAGCAGCCAGGCTGTCGCC